GGTGGGGCAACGCTGAAGCCTCTGCCAGCCAAACATTTTGAAACGCGGCCCGATCCTCCACAGAGGAGGGGCCCTGCTTTGGGCTTTTGGCTGGATGGTGGGCCAGCTTGCCACTGAGCTCATTGAATAACATCCCTTTCGATCTGAACAAGCCAAATGGGCTCTGCCTTCTCTAAGTGCTCCCAAACCCAATGACGCATCTGAAGCAAAAACCACACTGCTCATCTTGACTGCTATGTTCGCGACCAAAAAGGGGTCATGGCAGCTAGGACAATGAGCTCCTCTGCAACTCGGCGAGGTAGTGGGTGAAGCTGATTTTGCTGAGACCGTTCCGCCTCAGATGCAAGCCCAAAAAGTCCATTGACAGCCGATGTGCAGCATCTACGGTACATCAGAACCAAGACCCAGTTCCCTGCAAGGCTGGAGAAGATAGTGGAGGACAAAGCAGGGAGTCTCGCACATCTCAAGCCCAGCACTGATAGGCCAATCCGCTTTGACCACGGTGCTGCAACAGTGATGACACCTCGCCTGACTGCCTCCTCTGTTGACCTGATCTCTGCCCCTGCTGCTTTGAAACTGTCGCTCGCCTCTATGTCCTTCTCAACTGAACCCAAGATCCTGTGCTGATCGTAGATGCCTCGCGCGCTCGCAAGTGCCTTTTTGCTGCAAAACTGTTCAAGGGCATGCATTCAACCTTCTCAAAAGTAATCATCAATGATGAGGCCCTCATAGCTGTGGGACAGAGGGAAAATGGAATGCCCCTGCAGTCTGTGCTCCGGTTGTAGAAGGCCACCCTGACGCAAAACTTCCCTCGAAGCAAACTCAACACCCAAATGATCTCCTTGAAATAAAGAGCCACAGCATGGATAGATGTCTGCTGCCTGCTGCCCATGGTTATTTGGTCTGACTTGACCTTCCACCATCGCCTGTCTCCTCACGTCTCCTCCTTTGTGTTCTATAGCGCCTCCTCTCCTCAAAATCCTCAAGTGCAGCTGTGCCTTCAAAAGAAACAGAGGGGTAGGCTGCTACTGGCTCTCTCATGTGTCACTGCCGCCTGATGGTAAAAATCTCTACGGCCTGTGACTGATCCCAAAATCTTCTCCTGAAAGGGCACCGTCCTCACATTGGTCAGGACAAAGCCAGGCGGCAGGAAATGACTACGGCCGTCGATTGGCCTCTCTCTTGAGTTGGTGATTCTTCGATCAATCTGCCGGTCAACCTGTGGTCCCTTGTATGCATTGAAAACCTTGCAAAAATGGTTCTCCTCAAGTGGTTTCTCCTCAAGCCTTAAAAGACCTTGCCTGTCCCACAACTTTGCCAGCTGCAAATTCTCCTCGCGCCTCTCCGTCTTGAAAGCAGGCCAAACTGCTACATCATCCTCGCCCCCATGAAGAAGGAAGCGAGGTTCAGCCTTGAAACATCAAGGCTCTTGTATGGCTTCTACTGCGGATACTTCTCCTCAGGGAAAAGCCCCTTGTTCTCTGCAAATCTCCTCGACTTGTGCTGAACGTAGCTTTGGTTCAGCTCGTGGCTCCTTTCCAGGAAACGCTCAAGCTGGAAGATTGCTGCACCTAATTCAGGGCCGGAGCGTCCAGGGACCGTAGGATAGGCACCCCCATCTGCTCCACACACGACCAAAAGCGACCTAAGTCTGGCAAAGCATTCAAGTTGATTTGCACTCGGCCGCCTCCCAAGCTCCTCTTGCGATGGAAACCTGCCAAGATAGAAGTAGTTCAAGCAAAAGACTGTAATATGCAAGACCCTCTTCATTGCCAGGGCAGACAAATCCCTCCTCCGAAGCCCAGGGCCGCTGCTGCAAAAACCAGGGTGTGGCGCAGGCAGCGGGAAGATCGTGGTCGGCGAGCATTTAGTCATCTCGCCACATCGCATTGAAAGATTGTCTGAGGCGCCAAGAAAAACGACACCTGCATCTCAAAATCTATCTAGGCAAGCAAAGTGGCCACCGGGAAAAATCCATGGTGGCCTCCAGAGGGTTTGGCTCCTGCCCCCCTGGAGACCCTTCTCCTTCTGCTGCCTGCTGAATTGCTATCGGGTCTCGGTCTCCTCTGCTGCATTGCTCTCCCCCTTTCCTTTGCCTTTTGCTTTGGGGGCGGCTGCCAGCTGATTGCTGCTTGAGGAAGCGTCTGAAGCTGACTTTGGGTTTCCTGTCATCTCGCTTCTCTTCGCACTGATCACTTCGAGCTCCTTCAGGAAGGCCAAGGCACGCGTCACCCATCGCTGATCTGCTAACGGTGTTAAACGCCCTGGCCCTCGATGTGACTGTCAACTGCCTGTTGACGAAGATCGAGGCCGGGGGATCTTCTACACCATCCATGGCTGCTTGGAAGTTCTGGGTCATCATGAAGTCGAAAATGGTCATGAGCTGAAACTGGAGTTGTCCCAGCTCTCGGCAACGGCCGTATCCTCCAAACCTCTCTAGATACTGGCACCACTCACACCTCTCTGAAGGATCTCCTCGGCAAACGCATTGGCAGAGCTTGTAGGAGCCATCTGCCTTGACATGCTTTGCATCACAGCCTGACAGAAACTGCCTTTGTGGGCAGCCGGCTCCATCTGCAAGCGAGCCCTAGCTGAGGCCCCTCTGGTGCCCGAGCTGCCTGCGCCATTGGATCTGAGTGGGAAGATGCAATCTGCTGGACCAGGGATGTCAGTGCCTGGCTCTGTGCTAGAACTGCTCAGGCCAGCGCATCTCCTGCAGTCTGGGATGACACCTGATCTAAGCCCAATTTCTCTTCCTCAAGATTCTCTAGCTAAGCCGACAAACAGGGGATCTCGTCATTGGGTACGGACCTCACATTCGACCCTACCGCAGCCTCACATTCGACCCTACTCCAAAAGAACCGCACGCACCCTCACATTCGACCCTACCCTAACAAAAATACGCAACCCTTCCAGGAAAAAAACAACATTTCCCGGTTCACATTTGACCCTACCCCACTTTACCCTGCCTCAAACCAGACATCCGTGAACCAACCCCCCTTGAACAATTACATTCATTGCTATCAAATCAACCAGCCCCCAGCCCCCCTTGAACAATGACATTCATTGGTATCAAATCAACCAGCCCCCCTTGAACAATTACATTCATTGCTATCAAATCAACCAGCCCCCCTTGAACAATTACATTCCCAAATCAAACAGGCTTGAACAATTACATTCATTGGTATCAAATCAACCAGCCCCCCTTGAACAATTACATTCATTGCTATCAAATCAACCAGCCCCCCTTGAACAATTACATTCATTGCTATCAAATCAACCAGCCCCCCTTGAACAATTACATTCATTGCTATCAAATCAACCAGCTCCCCTTGAACAATTACATTCATTGCTATCAAATCAACCAGCCCCCCTTGAACAATTACATTCATTGCTATCAAATCAACCAGCCCCCCTTGAACAATTACATTCATTGGTATCAAATCAACCAGCCCCCCTTGGACAATTACATTCATTATATTCATTGGTATCAAATCAACCAGCCCCCCTTGAACAATTACATTCTATCTATCTATCTATCTATCTATCTATTTATCTATCTATCTATCTATCTAAAGATGACCGCGGAATTACGCGCGCACGCGGGATACGAAATACGCAGGTCTGGGAAGCGTACCCAACAATCGCAAGGGGGAACCTCGCACACAACCAGACACGCAGGGGGGACGGAGGAAGGTGGGATCAAAAGACCCCTATGCATATATATATATAATGTGTATCCGACCGAACTGATTACTCAGTATCAGGCGTGTCAGATCATCATCCTCCTCATCATCGACATCATCCTCCTCCTTCACATCACCTACTCAATCCAGCTAAGTAAAACACACACATCATCATCATCATCATCACCATCATCATCATCACCATCATCATGATCGTCCATCGTCATCATCGTCATCATCATCACCATCATCATCATCATGATCATCATCATCTCCGGGGCCCTCTTTTCGCAGCTAAAAACGCTACTTTCTCACATTCGACCCTACCCCAAAATGGGGGTAGGGTCATATGCGAAACCATTGGGGTAGGGTCAAATGCGAGGCGCGTACCCGTGGGGAGGTTGAATGGCCTTGGCAATCTGAGTGAGTAAGAGGCACTTGACTGGAGGGAACTGGCTCAAGGGCAATGGTGGTGGCCTCCCTCCTGCAAACGTGCTTCCAAGGCGATCTGTCGATCGCTCAGACGCTCCAGCTCCGCTGAGATTTTCGGGAGCGCTCCAACATGCTTCCCATGTCCTGTGCCAAAGTGGCAATTGTTAGCCTCTTTGCCTTTGCCTTTGCACCACCTCCTCGAGTAGCCCCTCGTAGCGCAGATCTTCGCCTGCGCAGGAGCTTCTGGACGAGGCGATCTGTCCACCTCTGCATCCTCCTCCTCTGGTGTGTAGGAGCCAGCTCTTTCGTCTGTGGACTGTGCCGCGCATCGCCGAATGAGAGGCAGCAATGCATCTATTGCTGGAAAGGAAAATGGGCTCTCTTCGTCGAAGCCATAAACGACTTCTTCGTCCTCTGCAAACGGTCTCAGATAGTTCATATCTCGGCTGCGTAGTCCACCACCAAAACATCTATGTAAACGCCTGTCTGTGACAAAATTCCACCCTCCTCCAACAAAGATGCCACCTTGAAAACTTTGTGAGGTCCAAAAATTGACTCCTCTGATCCGAGCGCACCTTCTGCTAGAACTGAGTCTGGAAGAAACCCGATTGGCACGGCTAGAAGCACACCCGCTTCTCTCCTCATAAGTGCCAACACCGTACATTCTGCAAGCTCTTCTGCCGCTGGATCGAGCGACCATGACAGCACGTAGGGCTGCACACTGTCCACCGCCAGCACTATGCTCTCCAAGGTGAGAACGCCATCCATGGCGTCCATACTCTCCATCTTTTCTACGCCACTGTGTCAAACTCTGCAACCCCTGCACCTGAGAGATAAGTCTTTGCCTCCAGCTCTGAAGGGAAGGAATGTGACACCGAATTGCTAATTACTCTCGAGATCTCCAATGATCTGCCAGTAGTAGGCACCGGCACTGGTGCAAAGCACTGGGCGCTCAACTGCTTCGACCCGCAAGATGGCGTAGTAGCGGGAGCGTAGGTCAATCTGTGGAGAACTGTTTAGGCTGCCCACGCGACCAGAAAGCACAGCGCCGCCCCACTGGCCAGCGCGCCAAGCCCTCTTGACCCTCTCTTGGCCAGAGGTGGCTGAACCTGAGCCAATCTGCTGGGCAGGCAAAGAAAATGCTCTCGATCTGCGACCTCGTCTCCAAAGTCCTAGGCAAAGAAAGCTGAAGGCTCAGGAGGCCTGGAAGAAACCAGATCAAAGGAACCAAGGCTAGCAGCAGGAGAATCAGCACGCTGGTCGCTCTCCAAAGCCAACACTTTGCGCAAAAACTCAGTGGCTTTCTCGGCAGGTCCCTTGATGGAGATTTTAAGGTCTCCCACCTGGCAAGTGAGCTCAATGTGGCCTTCGTCGTTGGGGCCTGAACTCATCCAAATACCCGGCAAGTGCCGAGTATCGTGAACCGATGATGGAAATGACAGCACGAAAGATGGCTCAGAAGATGAGGCCTGAAGGGAAGTCGAGAAAGTCCAAAGGAGAAGGAGGCAGGCAAAAAATCCAATTATATAGCCCCCCTAGGACAAAAGCCAGCAAGATTGCTGACAGGGTCGGCTGGGTGCAGTATGCTGGGTAACCCAAGCCGTAAAAGTTTGTCTTGACACCTTCGACCAACAACGGGACAGACCTGGACGCCGCCTCGAGCATGAAGGAGCTTGAGAACGCTCTTGCTTTGTTGCAAGTTTGGCATCATTTATTTATTCATTCATTTATTTATTTGTCTATATGGGAGGACTGGAAGTTAGAACGACTTCAGGGCCACCAAAAAAAACATTGAAAGTTAGACTGAGACCACAAAATTGTTTGAAAAAATCTACCAAAATTCTACCTTTCAGTCCGTATTATGCTGGTAAATGTGGATAAAAGTGTTCAAAAATTGTTTGATCAAATTTGCCTACCTGTTGTGCCGGGGCCACCAAACCTTTATTTTTTGTAGGGTTAGAATGCCTCCGCAGCATATGCCCCCCAAACAGCTGAATTCTATATAGATTTTTTTTAATTATTATAATATATATATATATTTTTTTTTAAAAAATTTATATTTATATCCTACATCAACCAAATTCCGGAAAAAAGCGGGTCGAGGTCGAGGTATCAAAACCTGGTCTTGAGCTAGTTTCTGCGAAAAAAACAGGTTTTAGCCAACAAAACCAGGTTTTTGATGAAGCAACTTCGCCACAACCCGTAGAAAAACCGTCGCAAACCTGTAAAAAATCATCAAAACCCCCAAAAAAAAGGTAAAATACCGTAGTCTAAAACCGACCAAAAGCTTGGTTTGCCGGGGCCACCAAACCTTGTTTTTTGTAGGGTTAGAATGCCCCCGCAGCACATCTGAATTCTATCTAGATTTTATATAGATAAATGAAATCTTGGTCCCCAATGACGGTTGAGATAAATACTTACCAAAATTTGATATCATCATCATATATCCTACATCAACCAAGTCCCTGAAAAAAGCGGGTCGAGGTATCAACACCTGGTTTTGAGCTAGTTTCTGCGAAAAAACAGGTTTTAGCCAACAAAACCAGGTTTTTGATGAAGCAACTTCGCCACAACCCGTAGAAAAACCGTCGCAAACCTGTAAAAAATCATCAAAACCCAAAAAAAAAGGTAAAATACCGTAGTCTAAAACCGACCAAAAGCTTGGTTTGCCGGGGCCACCAAACCTTGTTTTTTGTAGGGTTAGAATGCCCCCGCAGCACATCTGAATTCTATCTAGATTTTATATAGATAAATGAAATCTTGGTCCCCAATGACGGTTGAGATAAATACTTACCAAAATTTGATATCATCATCATATATCCTACATCAACCAAGTCCCTGAAAAAAGCGGGTCGAGGTATCAACACCTGGTTTTGAGCTAGTTTCTGCGAAAAAACAGGTTTTAGCCAACAAAACCAGGTTTTTGATGAAGCAACTTCGCCACAACCCGTAGAAAAACCGTCGCAAACCTGTAAAAAATCATCAAAACC